TAAAGAAACACAGTAGGGGAATAACAAACGCCCAAAGCCATTAGAGTAAGATATGGGGGCACCTTAGCCAGGAGTGTGACCTCTAGCACACATGAGATCAGATCACAGATCATCCTGTTATTCGTCGATTGCCTCGAGCAGGCCCCAGTAACGTCTCCTTCATCCTAGCCCTGAGATTATATTCAAGGCTCTTTAGGAGAATGAGACCCATCATTGTTACTGGTATTTGGCATATTGGGTACGACACAGGGAGTTTGCCAGACTCTGCCGTGTGGGCAGGTTACATTCGGGAGCCTGCCAGTTTGTCAAAGTAGGAATGAGATGTCATAATAAAATGTCGCGAGTGTGAGTACCACAAAAATCCTGTTAAGCACTAGAAGTGGAATGTCTGTGGATGCAGTTAAATCCATGCAGTCTCCAGCGAGCATGTGTGCAATACTTGGTAATGTGAGATCCCTGGTGAGCCACCATGCACATGTGACCATCACAATAGCGGCAGCAACAGAGAAGGGGGGAAAAAGTTTAAAAAGAAATCATCACCGCTTTTCCCCATCTATTCACTTCTTATTCCAAATCTGGTTTTAAAAATCAGTATCTTGAGAATCATTTTTATTTCCTCTCCCTCATCTGATATATCTACTAGCCACTAATTTCTCCTTTAATAAAACTCCACACCCAGAAATCCACTAGTTACTAATGGATATATCCACTAGTAACTAATTCCTCCTCTTAAAAATTCCTCCACATCCAGCAATGCTCAGAGGCCTGCACTGGAGATTCTAGAGGTGGGGTGGGGGTAAGATGTCACCATATTAGTGGTAATCAAGGCCCTTGGGGCCATTCAAAGCAGTGTTTGAACGAGGTTTAAAGTTCTGGGGGTCAAATGCTGGATCTTCCCCATGCTAGGTATGTGCTCTACGACTTGAATTATCTCCACAGGACCCTAATTCCCTTTCAATTATATCCCTTAAACATCTATTATCTTTTCTCATTGCCCAACAGTCAATGCTTTCCTAGAATTGTACGTATCCTTAGATTACAAACCTTTTAATTATTATTTTGGTTCTTGGGCCACCCTGGGTGATACTCAGAATTTAATTTCGGCTATGCGCTCTACATTCAGCCCCTGACAGGGCTCAGGGGACCATATATGATTCCAGGGATTGAACCCAGGTGGGCTGGTGCAAGGCAAGTACCTTACCAGCTGTACTATGATTCCTGTTCTACAAATAGCCTTTTGAAGGCACTCTGCTTTGGGTCCTTTAGATGCCTCCAACTCATCATCCTTACACAATTCTTGTAGAACAGAAGTCCAGTTGCATTTTTCCCACTACCTGCCATGTCTACCAGTCCTGCAGTGTGACAAGGTCCATGCATGGTGGAAGGATGTTCAAGGAATGTTTCTTCCTGGAACAAGATAATGGCCTCCTGCCCCCACAATTCTTGAAATCAATATACTCATAACATGCGCATTTTGGTTAATCTGTATGTTTAGTCTTGGGAGTTAGTTCTAGGAATATGACGACTGGAGGCTTGGCCCACATAAAACATGCAGCAGGAGATAACCAGTTAGGTCAGTAAGGGAATGTATGAATGGCTTACAGAAATGTGAACTAACAGATGCACAGAAACCTCAAATATAGTAAGCAATTTGAATACAAAAGACAAAGTAGAAACAAGAAATCCCTACATGGGCCCTGAGTTAGAAGTGCTGTAACCACCATGATGACTAAAAATGACCTTGCTTACATGATTAATAACAAAATATGGTACCCACCCAGAGGAAAAGTATAAACAGTCCCTCTACCTTAACTGGGGCTTACGGACCTGGGGGAAACAGGTATGTAGAAATAACTGGAAAACATGGAATATGACACATTGAAGCTTTGGCAAAAAATAAGGTGCAATAGGCCATTGTGTTATTTGTTAAAAACAAAAGATAAGGGGCTGGAGCAATAGCACAGCGGGTAGGGCATTTGCCTTGCACGTGGCCGACCCAGGTTTGATTCCCAGCATACCATATGGTCCCCAGGAGTAATGCCTAAGTGCAGAGCCAGGAGTAACTCCTGTGCATCACCGGGTGTGACCCAAAAAGCAAAAACAAGAAAACAAAAGGTTGATCTCATGAAGCAAAATAGAACCTGGTGGGGAAAGAGTTGGTTATAGTTTAATGAGAAAAACACGAAGGGACCTGGATATACTGAAAGTCTTAAAAAGTGTCCTAGAATATGGAATGAAAAACATTATTGAAAATATAGTTTGATATAAATCAATATCTAATGAACCCTTTGTGCTAATTTGATACAATTTATGAGTTGTAAACCCTGCATGCTATGCTTGAGCAACTTATTTTTAATTCTGTGCAACCACAACAAGTAAGACGGAAAGCTTCTTGTCAAATCTTCTGCTGTAATGAAGTCATAAGCCATACATACATAGAAAATGAATGTAAGTATAGACACAAAATGGAATAAAGCAAAGATCTCCTTCAACACCTGAAAAAGTTTGTTCGTGTTCTTTCGCTGACTCCACCAGCCCACCTTCAGGGGTCCGGAACCTTTGCCACAATTGGATTGCGGCAACTACCTACAGAATAGGCTGAACTGCTAGGCTTAGTTCATCACATGTTTCATAATCTACAGATGCTTTCTCTATTGTTCCCTTAGTCTCTTTTCTCTTCAAATAATGCAAGAAAATGGACCCAACAAGTGAATATTTTGATGTCTGACCTGACCCGAGTTCGATTCCTCTGCCCCTCTCGGAGAGCCCGGCAAGCTACCGAGAGTATCTCGCCCGCACGGCAGAGCCTGGCAAGCTACCCTGACGTATTCAATATGCCAAACACAGTAACAACAAGTCTCACAATGGAGATGTTACTGGGCCTGCTCGAGCAAATTGATGAACAACGGGAGGACCGTGACCGTGACCGCGACCCATTGGTTGTTGAACATGATGTTGAATATTTCTCCCCTTTTGTAAAGACCTTTATACCAGGCCACCAACAAGGCCTTCCTGAATTTTTCTACATGGAAACTTCTTTTAAAATTGTGCTGTGAGGTTGGGGAGAAATAGCACAGGTATTGAGGGGTTATATCCTGGCAGCCTGGCTGGATTCTCAGCACCTATTTGGCCCCCAAGCACAACCAAGAGTGAACCCTGTGTCCTGCTTGGTGTGGCCCCCTGCCAACACGCTCCTCCCAAAAACTGTGCTCTGGAAACAAACATACTTGTATTGGGACACTTATTTTACACATTACTATTTCAGGTATAAAAGTTCAGTTCAACAAAGTATAAAAAAGTAATATAGTCTCATTCCACTTAGATTTACAAGTCTATGAGGCAAAAGATTTTAATAAAAGCCCTGCCCTCCCCACTTGAACCTGGGTTGTGGTTAAATTCTGGGGGACACTTAGTAGCACCTATGTTTTGAGGAAGATGTAGCACTGTACCTGTCAGTTTTATAAATAGAGTTCCTCCAGGTTTGTGTACCCCTACCCCTACCCCTTTACATCTTACAGATACTTACGAATAGCTTCATCATTTTGCTTTAATGGACACAAGTACTTGAGACTCAGAGATTTATCAATGGTTTCCTTATAATTCAGAATTATTCCCTCTCTACTATCTTGTTAACTACCCACAGATGTTCTAAAATGCAGAACTAGGCAATACTCAGCGATCCAGTGGTATTTAATTTCTTTTAATTTTGATGCTTTACTTCAGAAACATTTCCTGTCTTGAAAAAAATTTGTTCTAGAACATTCAATACTTTTTTTAAAAAATGGATATTGACTTTTAATGGGCTTAATTACATAAAAGCTAATAACTGTCAAATGTTTCTGCTTAGTACTCTCCCACACCTAAGCAGAATTAAAAACAGAAAGGCCTATAACTCAAAATCTAACTGCTCAACGATGCACAGGAGGAAACCTTTAAGGTAAATATATCCCACCCCCTGAACTTTGTATAATCCGAAATAGAATAACCCAAGGATCACCCAGATCTAGGTATCTAGAATTTCCCAAGCCCCTCATTGGCGGGCGAGGGCCAGGTCTCATTGCTAGATCTCTTTCTCCGCATTAATAAACCAGATCATTGTTTTATTATTGCGCACAGTCATTTTTCCACCACGCCTCCCCTCTCCACCCCAGTGCTCTTCACCCACTTCACCTTTCCACCCCGCCCCCGTCCCTACGCCCATTTCCCAGGCCTGACCCTCCCCCTCTACCCCGCCCTTTCTCTGGGTTCGCCCCGCCTCTCGTGCCCATTTTCCCCCTTACGCCCCGCTCCTTCTCTACGCCCCGCTCTTTCGCTACGCCCCGCCCTTCTCCCTGCTCCGCCCCGCCCACCTATGAGCCCCGCCTCTTCTCTAATCCCCGCCCTTCTCTACGCCCTCTTCTCTATGCCACGCCCCTTCTCTACGCCCCGCCCTTCACTTCGCCCCGCCCTTTTCTAAGCCCCTCTTCTCTGCGCCCCGCCCTTCCCTCCGCCCCTTCTTTCTCTACGCCTCGTCTCTTCTATACGCCCCGCCCTTCTCTACGTCCTAGCCCCGCCCTTCTCTACGCCGCGCTCCTCTCGGGGTCTCGTCTCTACACACGCCCGTCTCGTCTCTACGCCGCGCTCTTCCTCAAGCCCCGCCCTTCTCTCCGCCCCGCCCTTCTTTACGCCGCGCTCTTCCCTAAGCCCCGCCCTTCTCTACGCCCCGCCCTTCTCTACGCCCCACTCTTCTCTAAGCCACATCTCTCCGCACCGCCGTTCTCTACACCCGTCTCTTCTCTACGCCCCGCCCTTCTCTGCACCCCGCCCTTCTCTACGCCCCGGCTCTTCCTACGCCCCACCCCCTCTACCCCCGCCCTCTCCACGCCACGCCCCTCTTCGGAGCCCCGCCCCCTGACCTACTTCACGCCACGCCCCACTTGGCAGCCCATTGCTTCCGGTTGTGTCGTTTCGCGTCTCTTCTCGCTTTCTCGCTTTCGCCGCGTCTCTCTTTTTTTTTCCGACCTCGTGGTTTCCTTTCCTCTTTGCCGGCCGGCCGCCGCTTCCGCCGTCGCCGGAAGGAGGGCAGCGGGAGCATCGGGGAACATGGCGGCCGTGGATATCCGAGGTAACCGAGCCGACTTCCCTCTCCCGGGAGCCGAGTGGGGGTCGCCGCGGGCCGAGCGCGGCTCCCGGGCCTTCGCGACGCTTCGCGCACTCATGTGCGTGCTTTCCCCGGATCCCAGGCGCTCACCTGGCCTTATGTATTCCCCCTCATTTTTTAGGAATTAAAAAAAAAAAGCAAGGGGGAAAGAGGGGCGCCCAAAGAAATCCTGGGCCGTGAATCTTTCCATCTGCTCCATGTTTGTTCTGTATGCCCGTCTCTACAGCAGTATTGGGACTTCGGGTGAGGGAGCGGCCTTTGGGCCAGAGACGGGTAATCTGTTTATCACTGGGATTTGGCATGGGGGCTGTCTTGTCTTTGACGCGTGCATCGGAGACTTTTTTTTGGGGGGGGGTTCACACCCGGCGATGCACAGGGGTTACTCCTGGCTTTGCGCTCAGAAATCAGCTCCTGGCAGGGCTCTGGGGACCCTCTGGGATGCTGGGGATCGAACCCGGGTGCCAGCCTTACCCGCTCCGACCAGAATCTTTGGTTCCAGGAAGCGCCTAATCGTTACCATGGCAACGGTTGTTTCTTTCCCCTCCTCCAGACCGGTAAAGATACTCAAGTGTTTGTTGAAGCAGAGAATAAGTAACAGGGAATTGCAACTCCTTAATTGATGCTTGGAGCAGTCCCTCCTAGCCTGTCTTCTCTGTTTACGTGCAGACGTTCGTTTCGGTCCAATTTGTAAAGGACCAAAGCGTAGGAAGCGTGCCCTGGCACTGCAAAACTCAGCCAGCGCGATTAAAACATACGGGCGGAGGCCGAGCGACGGCTAGGGTTCGACTTCCCGACCGCGTTTGCTCCCAGAGCCCAGCCAGGAAGGACTCTGAGCCCAGAGCCTGGAGTAAAAGCCCTGAGCACCGCCGGGTGTGGCCTGCAAACCTAAACAAACAAAACGGAAACAGGAGAACTTAATTCCAGCTTGGCCAGGTTCTTTGAGCCGGGAGGAACCCAGGGCTTCATACTTGCAAGGCAAATTCTCCACCTCTGGGACCTTACCCAAACCTTGACCTTTTTCCCCTTTTACCGGGTGTGCTGGCTTCCTTAAACATGTTCTCTTGTTTTTCCATTAAGAACGTTGTGGCACTGTGTGTGGGAAGTGGTGGTAGAGGGGGCGGGTAGCAGCAGTCCTGTGAATCTTACACACACAAACACACCACACGTATGTACCACAGAGCTACATTCCTGGCTCCAGTGGTGGTTTTCCTTTGTGATTTTTCGCAAATAGATGCAAGGTGAGCTTCATGGTTAGATGTATCCCTCTCAAACTCAGCAGATCACCAAAATGTTTTTCCTCAAAAGATCCTTAATTGTAAAATCATTTCCAGTTAGGTTGTTTTTAATTTGTATATGCTTCGTTTTTAAAGGGAAATGTTTTTGCTTACTCTTTTTATTAACGAAATTTGGGGTCTAGTGTAGCACTGTAGCACTGTCCACCCGCTGTTCATCGAGGCTCTCCCGTGATGGAAGCATTACTGCTATATGATAGGTGCTTCATAAATAATTAAAAGGAAACATTCTGAAATTGCAAACTAGTTGCCATTCCTCCAAATACAGCTTCTCATCCTAATATCCTCTTCCCATCCATTGGAAAAAAAGAATCCTATTTGTCTTTCAAAATGCAGTTTTAATTAATATTTTCATGTAATATCCTTGGGCCCCCACTGGACACATTGATATATTTTTGTGTGTGTGAACTTCTGAACTTAGTTCATGTGCTTCTCTGTCATTGGAATGACAAGGTTATGAGTTTGACTTCAGAATCTGTATCCAGCTCTAAGACCTGCAACCCAGCACAAAACCTGGTGCAGAGGAAATGCCCGTCACTAACCACCGTTTATCCAAACTATTAGGATCTAGTTATGATGCCAACAGTCCCCATCTGCAAGTGACTTACCACCTGAGCAGTCTATAAAAATGTATCATATATACCAGTGTTGAAGCAAATTCTTAAGTACAAGATGGGCCCCAGAAGTGCACCATCAAGTGGAAGTTGTGATCCTGTTGCTTCTTATTCAACCAGTCTCCAGACCTCAAGGCCCTCCTGGGCTCTGCATTCACCTCTCATTTCTCTGCACCCTGAACAAAAAATGTTCATGTAGCCCCAGCCAATCAGACTCATTCTCTTTGCTCCTTAGTCTTCATCTTGGAAAAGCTTCCTGCCTTCCACCCTATTGTGGAGTTAGTTTCCCAAATAGAGTGCCCACTTTGTGTGGTGTTAAATGAAGTTTCCATGTTTCACCTAAATTATCATCTTTAACAATTTTGAACACAAAGTCCTCAACAAACAATGCTGCCACATTCACATTATTTGACTTGCTCTTAATACCCACCACTGATCTTAGACTATGCGTCTCTGACCCACCTCTGATCAACCTGGGTTCAATTCCCTGCGCCACGAAGTCCCCAAGCAGCTCAGTGTACAGCCCTGAGGGCCCCAAGGACTACCTGGGTGATCCTGGTCATGCCCAGCAACATGGGACCCTTGCACTGAACCACAGGCCTCTGACAAAATAAGAAACAAACTGTAAGACATCCCCGCGCCAAAAAAAAAAAAAAAGGAAACATTAGTGTGGTCTAGACTTAAGGTAGTCGCATGCTTCCATCCTGAATCCCCAAACCCTCCTAAATTCTCAAGCCACCGTCAGTCAGGATCTTTTCTGCCCTGCTTTGACTCAGCCTCAGAAGGCCATGCTGCCCAGTGGTTGGTGCAAAACCAGCCTGGGTATTCACAGCCAGCATTTTGCTTAAAGGAACAAAATCTGATGTAAAGAAAACACTGACAGGAACCATCTGCTCTCCCGCAAAGCTTGAAAGAAGCTGCATGTGGACTCTCTGATCCTTCCTCCCTCCCCACTACCCCCAGGGCAGGAATGAGATTCATTTGCAGGCAAAATTAGTGTGTGTGTGTGGGGTGGTAGGGGGACAGTGAGGGAGAGGGAGCCAAGCTAAGCCAAGGGTCTAGTGTACTTACTACAAATATGCTCTCATTTGCGGTTGTTCGAAATGTCAACTGTTTGTTGGCAGTGTCTTTACATTGTGATTGTCTTTTCCTATTGTAAGTGAGAACTTTAAGAGTATAATTTCATCACTGATTGCAAGCTTTATACTGTCTGCATGCTTGCTATTCAGTAATGAAATAGTAAGTTAAAATATTTGACTTTGATAATGTTTTCACTTTTATCTAATTTTGTCAAGAAACATTACAAAATTACTTTTTATGGGGGTGGCACTCCCAGCAGTAGTGGGGTGGTGTTGGGATTTGAACCTAGTGCTCCCGCATGCAAATCATGTGCTCTATATCCTTGATTTCTCTCCCTGGTCTAGATACTTTAAAAGTGGGAACATACCTAGTGTTTCAAAGAAGCCAGAGTCATTTACATTGTAAGAGGATGAACGTTTTTATTCTTCCTCCTTTTACTAGTGTCTTAGTGATTGTGACTTAAACCCTAGTATAATTTAGTAATGATAGGGAACATAACCACCAGTATCAGAGAAAAGCTCACTTAAGCTCTGTTTACCTTTGTTTCTTCTATTTATCTTTCATTAAGTTCTATTTACCTTTCATTTATCTTTCCATTTTGATAAATTTCAGTTTAATTCTAAAGCATGACATTATATAGCAGTAACTAAGGGCATGGCCATTTTATTTCCCATTTGCCCTTTATTAAGTAGGGGGCATACCTGACAATGCTCAGTTGGATTCTCCTGGCTCTGCAATCAGGAATTACTCGGAGTTGCTCAGGGGACCATGTGGGATTCTGGGAATCAGACCTGGGGATGCTGGTGCAAGGCACATTCCCTACCTACTGTACTATTTCTCCAGCCCCATGTTCTTTAATTTTTACATATGTATGTTTTTTTAATCTTACCTCTAGTTTCCTTAACTATGCTCTGTTCTTGAAAGAGGTCAGGTTAATGACTGTGAATGGATTTTGTTTGAATTTTTTTAATTATTTGCCAACATATTAAAAACTTAAGTTTCTATTTTTTTTAAGTCTATTGTATACTTGAAATTTATTTTTTTCACTCAGTACAATTGTTTTCTGAATATAACATACACTTGTTTTTGTGCCTTTGTTTATGTATTCTCTGTGCTTGGGAAGTCTCTGATGAGCCCTCCCCTTTTTAAGCGGGGACTCTTATTGGTACTGGGGTCCACCAGGGCTACCTTAACATTCAGTGCTAAAATCCATCTCCTCCTGCACCATTAAAAATTGTTTATTTTCCCTCAGATAAAGTTTTTTTTTTTAATCTGATTAAGTATATCTTTGTGGTATCCTCAGTCATTTTTTTTTTATAGCACTTATCAGGTCATGGTTTTGCTTTCTTTGTCATTACATACTTCTTTTTTTTTTTTCTTTCTTTTTGGGTCACACCCAGCAATGCTCAGGGGTTACTCCTGGCTGTGCACTCAGCAATTACTCCTGGAGGTGTTTGGGGGACCATATGGGATGCTGGGAATCGAACCTGGGTTGGCCACGTTCAAGGCAAATGCCCTACCCTCTGTGCTATCTCTCCAGTCCTGACATATACTTCTTTTAAGCTTAGAATATGTAGGTTAAAATCAATGTTAGCCTTATATTTGTTGTGTTTAGTTCATTAGCTGCTTAATAAATGTTGTACTGGATTTTTCTCTTCTTACTCTGCCATTTTGTTTTTCACAGATAATCTACTGGGAATCTCTTGGGTTGACAGTGCATGGATCCCTATTTTGAACAGTGGAAGTGTCTTGGATTATTTTTCAGAAAGAAGTAATCCATTTTATGACAGGACGTGTAATAATGAAGTGGTCAAAATGCAGAGGCTAACGTTAGAACACTTAAAGTAAGTTATTGTAAGCAGTTGTAGGTGGTTATAGAGATGTAAGTATTTTTGCTAGCTAGAAATTTTTCAGCGAATGGTTCTTCTAAATGGTGAATTATGTAGTGTGCAAGTACAAGTTTTGGAAGAACTGTAATTTTTGACTCTGTACAAATTGGATAAACATGGGAATGATCAGGCATTTTTAGTATCCACTGGCATCCAGGGTTGGTTGAATTCATGAGTGCAGAACTCGTGAATTTAAAAAAAAAAATCTTCCAGTAAGTGGATGCGTGCATTTCAGTTCTTGTGATTCAGGGGTTGACTGTATTTTATAACTAGGTTTATGGTGGATGTGTCTGTGCTGAACATGTACAGACTTTTGCTCTTGTTACATTCTCTACAAAGTCAACTTTAATATCTGTTTATTTAGCATTTGCAGTGTGTTAGGCTTCATAAGTAATCTTAAATTTGAATTTTGTTGATGAGTGATTTTAGCAAAGCAGCTGTTAATCCCCAGGTTAGCTAATTGTCTTCTTTAAATCAAATTTAATGCCTTAAACGATTAAGTCTGATTTTTGGTGAATTTTTGTAATTTACAAAAAGATGAAATTTTAGATGAACAAAACAAGAATCTTCAGATTTTCTGGAAGCTAAGCTATTGTTTATACACATTTTCTGGCTATATAAATTATATAATGTATTTCATCTATCAGATGACATGGATTTAATTTCATAGTTCTTGATATAAGGCATATCTTTTACAACCTTTAAGACAGTTTGTTGTTCCCAGGGTGGGATCTGGGATGGGGGCATGAGGGAAGGCTCCCAAACTATGCTCAGGAGGCTTAGGGTCCGCCGGCAGTTATTGGCCAGTCTGGCAAGAGCTGCCTGACCCTGTGGTACTGGGATTACCTGGGCTTCCCTGAGAGTGTTCTGGGACCTCCAGGACCACACCTGGCTGTGCTGGGGTACCATATGCTGTTGGGGATTGAACTGGAATCTGCTTCATGCAAATAGGTGCCTTAACTCCTGTTTCATCTCTCTGGTTCCTGTTGCTTTTAAATAGTTTGTCAGGTCAAAAAGTTTGTTGGAATAAGAGCTTTCTGGTGCTTTCTAGTTGGGTAGAATTTATAGTTATGAAATGTATAATATTTTTATACATGTATATTTTAGGAAATATGTTTTGGCTGCCTTTTTTGAAATGTTTGTTCTTCAGTATACTTGTATGACTGGATATACTCAGATTTAAGATCATCATAAAATTTTTTATAGAGAAATTTTTATTTTAAATCAAATCTTTATCTGTATTCTGCCTACCTGAGAAAACAGTGTTTTTGAACAACCCTTCTTTTAAATATATATATATGTAGTTTCAGTTCTGTTTATAATATTGCTGTAGAGTTATATAATAATTGAATCGAACAGAATCATATGGCATTCATAAATTTTTTATGTTTGTGTTCTGTTTTTAGTCAGATGGTTGGAGTGGAGTACATCCTTTTACATGCTCAAGAGCCCATTCTTTTTATAATTCGGAAGCAACAGCGACAATCTCCTACCCAAGGTAAAGTGTAAATTTCAGTGTTGATTTTTTAAAATAATTTAGTTTTTTTGGGCCATACCCGGCAGTGTTCAGAGTTTACTCCTGGCTGTGGGCTCAGAAATCACTCCTGGCAGGCTGAGGGAATTTAAATTTCTTAATATATCACGGTATATTTACTTTGTGAACTGCGTGATCTTAAATATTTGGATTCTATTTTGGGGATCCCTTAGACAACATACCTATTCCGTGGGTTTGCTTAGAGAATTGCAGATTCACCATACCTTTAGTCATGCCTAAGATACAGTACAGCAACACAGTAAGACTACACAGCCAGGTCAGTAAGGGGGATAAAACCATATGAAATTGCATGTGTAGTAATCCCAAGTGTAAATGTTTTGTACTTTCTCTCCTGTAAGGGGAATAGCAAGTGTTCCCTCCAGCAGTAAGATGTACCCGTATTCATAAAGTATGTCTGCTCAGGGAAATCTATTTGAGATTCTTGGATCCAGAGTTTTTATTGAAGTCTAGTCAGATAGACATGCCTGCCAAAATTCCAGACTGTCTGTAGACAAAATATCAGGTGTTTATTATAATATATTGTCTGTGTTAATTGCCATGGGAAGCCTAACTGGCATAGCAGTCATATAGTGATACAACATATCAGTGTATTATATCAGTGACATAAGTTGCAGAATCTTAGTCATGTACTTGGACAACTGGAATCTTCCAATATGCCCCAAAGATCATGCTTCAAGAACAAACTGAGCAGCTCACTACACTGAGTCCAGCTCGTTCTCTGAGTGTAATTGTTGGGATTCCAACTGAACCTTGAGCATCCTGAGCAAGTGTTCTTTTCTCAGCACTCTTAATTCTTAATTCTGTTGCAAAACACACTATAGATGCAGTTGTGCTAACTCATGGAAGTTCAGTTGGAAGTTCTCTTGATGCATTCATCCAAAAGGTTTACCTGGATTATGCTAACCCCCATTTTCCAAAAAAAAAAAAAAAAAACAGATAGGAAACAAAACTTGACACTTAATGTATAATTTCACTGAACTGTATAGAATGCAGATTTTTGGAAGGTACCTATGCTCACCACAGAATACTACCAGTGTTCTGTCAGATTGGATTTTTGAATCAGAGCTAGAGATGACTGACTTTGTCCTCCAGATATTTTCCTCAGGACAGTTAATCCTTGTATTGATTCCAGAATGTGACCTTGCTAAAGAAGTTATGGTTGGGGCCTAAGAGAATAATATAGTGAATTTGCATTGCATGCAGGCAACCCGGGTTTGATCCCTGGCATCCTATATTATAGTCCCCTGAGCATCACTAGGTGTGACCCAAAAACCAAGAAAGAGACAAGCGGGAAGGGGGAAAGGGAGAAAGAGAGAGAGGAAGGGAGAACATGGAAGAAAGGGTGGTTTTCAGAATGGAAATCCAAATTTAATTTTAGAATAAAACATCTAGAGCCCCTGCCCAATGAAGAAGAGAGCCGTACAGTAAAGGAAGAACTGGGACACTATTTGTATGTAGTTCAGGCTACATCAAGATGGCACTGGCCTCATTAGTGGCTATTTTTTCCTTACCATCAGTACTGGGGCACAGAGGCAAGTTCAGTGCTTCTGGTATCTTCACCCTGGGCTCTGAATCTCTCGCTCTCCTATGGTCTTACTCTCCAGAATGTGGTTGACTGATAAGGATTACTTCAGATGATAGAAATTTGATTGTAACCAGACGTTTAGGTGACTGAGATGCACATTCAAGTTTGAGAAGTGCTACTCTGGGATAAGAGTTGTCAAACGTACTTTGTAAAGGTCCAGAGAATAAACATTTTAGACTTAGAACCCATGGTCTCTGATGACTACTCAACTAGTGCAACCTTATATAGTAATGTGGATGAATGGGTATGACTGCTTTCCAGTAAAGCTTTATGTGTAAAAATAAGAATTGTCATGGTCGGAGGGAGAGCTCAGTGGGTTGAAGCATTGTCTTGTAGGCAAGAGATGGGTTGATAACTGATAATGCATGGTTCCATGAACACTGCTGAATGGCCCTGAGTACTGCTGGGCGTAATCTTAAAACTGTCAAACAAACAAACACTGTCCTCCTGTTGTTCATCGATTTGCTCAAGCGGGCCCAGTAACGTCTCCATTTTTTTTTTTTTGAGACTTGTTGTTACTGTATTTGGCATATTGAATGTGTCATGGGTAGCTTGCCAGGCTCTGCCATGTGGGTGAGATACTCTTGGTAGCTTACTGGGCTCTCCGAGAGGGGCAGAGGAATCGAGCCGGGCTTGCTGTGTGCAAAGCCAATGCCCTGCCACTGTGCTATCGCTCCAGCCCCAAAAACAAAACAAAAAATAACTAAATAAAGAATTGTCACACCTTCCTTCAGCTTCAATGTGGGAAAATTTTACTTCCTTTTTTGTTTTCAGAGGTCACCCGGCCTACCTCCAGTGACATCTATGTAGTTTGGGCAGGGAGGTAGTTCTGGGAATTGAACTTGGCCAGCACTTTTAGCTATATATCCAACCCTAGTTCTTTCAATAGCAGTTTGAGTGTATAACTATATTTTAAAACTTTTTTTTTTAATTAAAAAAAACTCTGCTTTAGTTGTTCCAATGGCTGATTACTATATCATTGCTGGAGTAATCTATCAGGCACCAGACTTGGGATCAGTTATAAACTCCAGAGTGGTGAGTTCATTGGCTTTTACACTTTATTCCTCCTCCTTTCTGTCCCTTTGTTGTGGTGTTTATAATGATGTTGCTGTCTGGGAGTTGTATGCTTTCAGTTGTTCTGATTGCCAGGAATCACATGCTTGGTTGTGGTATTTGGCACACTGGGTGGCATTGCTCTCTAGGGGTTACCTACTTGGTTGCAAAACATGTGCACCTGTTGAAGTGACAGACATCCTGATAGTGCTATTGAGTTTGTACTCAGTGATATGGGGCAGTGCTGGCAGTCTTGTGCCTGGCACTCAAGGAAGGCACTGAGCCATATTTTCTAGGCTCTTAGAGAAAACTTTGAATGGAACCAACTGTCAAGCACCCCTTCTCTCGTGCAAGTTGGTATCAGGTATTGATCATTGGAATGTCTTAAGCATGGTTAAGTGGCTGTTAAATGTATATTCCATGTTAAATGTATATTCCAGCCCAATGCTGTAGTGACTCAGATTCTGGGAAATAGGAAATTTACTGTCGATGTAATACTTTAGGGTCAGACTAATAAATTTTATAACTTTTTTTTTTCACTTAAATAAGCTTACTGCAGTACATGGAATTCAGTCAGCTTTTGACGAAGCTATGTCATATTGTCGATATCATCCTTCCAAAGGGTACTGGTGGCACTTCAAAGATCATGAGGAGCAAGGTAGGTTCACACCTAGACCTCTTAAAACCCTTTTGGCTCTCTGAGAATGAAGCTTTTTCTAAGTGATTCTTAGAGGGATTATGACATTGTCGAGTTTCATTTTCCATAATAAGATGTAATAATAGCTTTCCCATATCTATTAGGTAACTGGTGGTCTTTGATATGTTGGTTCAATATTTTAAGATATCTGGAATTTAAAGAGAAAATCATTAGTAAGGAATGAGTAATTATTATCTAATTTGAGTCATCTTGATGTCTGGAACCTAAGTTTAAAGTAGGGAAGATGCTATTCCTCTAAACGACCAATGTTCCCTGGTCTTATAAATCAAATATAGGAATGCCATCCCCCCTAGTTTCCATAGATTGTGCTATGGAAACCACTACTTGTTCTGCACCATATTTACCAATAAAGTGTTTCTTGAAATAGTTCTATAGTACTCTTCCTGTCATCTGAAGACTAAATTATTTGGGAAAGGAATCTAAATAGAATTCAGATTTTTACAATCAGTGCTCTTTCAGGTAGTTTATAATTTTTTTAATGGTAGTTACAAGTAGCAGCATTCAATAGAGAAAAGCTGATATCAGTGTGTACTAATCTCCTCAGAGCTATTTACCCTACACTAATGAAGCACTTGGAAGAAAACCTACCTGGAATCAATAGTCCTTCAGTGTACTCTCCTCCCAGGGAAAATTTCAGATGTAATTAGCTGGAATTTTTGAAAGGAGTATCAGAATACTTATTTGGGTTTGTTTTCATTTTAATTGGCAACCATTAAAATGATTGATGGAATTTGAATATGGTGAACAAAGATTTTAAAATGGGAAACAAAACTCTAGTAAGCAATATTTTCATTTGGACTTCCTATTTTTACAGATAAAGTTAAACCTAAAGCCAAAAGGAAGGAAGAACCAAGTTCCGTGTTTCAGAGACAACGTGTGGATGCATTACTCCTAGACCTTAGACAAAAATTTCCACCCAAATTTGTGCAGGTAATGAGACTGTGTATACTAAGTTTGAGATTTCTTTCTTAATACTTTTGATGTTAACTATTTCTGGATAGGAGCTAGAAATTCAGATTTTCTTAACTACTTAAATGATCTCGGTCTCAAACGGTTTTCAAAGACTTAATGGAAAAAGTAAGTCATGAGAATGGATCACTTTATTCTGTACTCCTAATTAACTTCTCAGTGCACCTTCACAACCTCTGAGGACTGCTTATAGATAATACTGTCTTTGGGGGTTTACTGAAACTATGGTATTAATAAACTGAAACCTAAAATTCATTCTTGGGGTCAGAGTGATAGCACAGCAGGCAGGATGTTTGCCTTGCACCTGGCCGACCCTGATTTGATCCCCAGTATCCCATATGGTGTGCCGAGGACTACCAGGAGTAATTGCTGAGTGCAGAGCCTGGAGTAACCCCTGAGTATTGCCAGGTGTGACCTAAAAAGCAAAATTATAATAATAAAAATAAAAATAGAGAAAGAAAATTCATTCAGTGACTTTTGTGCTGCCTTCTTGCATGATACAATTAATGGTTAGACAATGTTTTGAGCAGAGGATTTTGCTAAATAAACAGTGAAGGCAGAAGTAGTACAATACAGTCTTTTGGTGTCTCTTACAGGAATTTTATAATTCTAATTTCGCAGGGATCCAGCTGCAGTGGCAAAGGCTTTAAACAGGCCACTTCTCCCAATCCCTTCCCTTCTCTTTGTTACTGTGATGGCTGAAGGTGACAAACACGGTTGTGGTGCTCTCACTTTGTTGCAATGCCCTTAAGGTGTTGCACACTTTTAGCTGCAGGTTTACACACGTGTGGTTGTGGTCCATAGAATGTTGCATGTTTGTGACACTACTGATAACGACAGTGCTGCCAAAACTGCACTCAGTAATATGGAGTGGTTTCATATTTGTGGCCTCGGCCTAGAAGATTGGCACTGTGAAAACTCACCCCCAAATTTTTGTTTGTTTCTGGGTCACACACAGTGGTGCAAGGGCTTACGCCTGGCAGTGAGCTAGGGATCAAATCAGGTGGGGTTGGGGAGACCATATGGCATGCTGGGGATCAAGCCCAGGTCAGATGCATGCAAAGCAAATGCCTGACCCGCTACACCAACAGTTCAGTCCCAGGAATGGTAATGCTTTAGATACATTTGCTTAAAATATAAAATTGTGCTCTTAAAATCTAATTGCAAGAAAATTTAAAAGTACATATTGGGCTGGGGATATGGCTCAGCAGTAGAGCACATGCCTTGCATACTTACAATCTAGGTTTAGGTTAGATTGAAAGGATTTTATATGCTATACAAAGGAGTTTGTGAATAATACTTTTTTTATTTTGGCTTTTTTGGGTTACACCCAGCTATGCTCAGGAGTTACTCCTGGCTCATGCACTCAGGAATTACTCCTGGCAGTGCTTGGGGAGGACCATGTGGGATGCCGGGGATCGAACCCGGGTCGGCTGCGTGCAAGACAAATGCCCTACCCGCTGTACTATCACTCCGGTCCCCGTAATTTGTGAATAATACTTATTTTAAAACCATAACCCATTAACGTTTCCACACGAACAGGATTCCAGCTGCATTAAGTTATTTAGAGTTATAAAACCATAGCTGACATCACAAAAGAAACCAGAGCAGTGGTTCATTTTCATATATTCTTTTTAAAATATTTGCTCTTGAAGTGTAACGGAACATTATCATCAGTAGATCTTCATCACTGACTCACTAAGAATTATTAACGATGTCAGTAGAGACCAAATTACATGTTAAAGAGTAGTTGAAAAGAACTAATGTAATTAGTTTTGTATTTTAGAAAGATAACTAGACAAATGGGCTGGAGCGATAGCGGAGCGATAGCACAGCGTTTGGGTGTTTGCCTTGTGTGCAGCCAGCCCAGCCGAACCAGGTTCAATTCCTCCGCCCCTGTTGGAGAGCCTGGCAAGCTACTGAGAGTATCTCGCCCGCACGGCAAAGCCTGGCAAGCTCCCCGTGACATATTCAATATGCCAAACACAGTAACAAGAAGTCTCAAAATGGAGACATTACTGGGTCCGCTTGAGCAAATCGATGAACAATGGGAGGACAGTGGTGACAGTGTTGACAACTAGACAAATATAGGGAATGGGTAAAGAAGAAAATGCAGAGAGGTGAGATTGTGCAAGGCTTAAATTAATTACAAGTATTAATAGGGGCTGGAGCGATAGCACAGCGGGTAGGGTGTCTGCCTTGCACGCAGCCAAAATGGCCGACCCGAGTTCAATTCCTCCGCCCCTCTCGGAGAGCCCGGCAAGCTACCGAGAGTATTCGATATGCCAGACACAGTAACAACAAAGTCTCCAGTGGAGACGTTACTGGGCCCACTCGAGCAAATCGATGATCAACGGGAGGGCCTTTACTTTTACTTTACTTATTAATAGAGGAGATAGACTTTCTTTTCATCATACTAGGGCCAAAACCAACTCCCAAAGGCTATATTCAACTTTGTGTTGGAGAATTAGGAGAAAGACGGCCTTCTATAATAATGACCTCTGAGGTCTTAAAACATTGCTCCTTGGGCCTAGAGAATGAAATACATTCTTGGTCTCTTTGCAGTCTCTTGTTATCCTCTGTATGTGCACAGTGTCAGCCAGAAGCATTTGTGCCTCATGATTTGGTTATGCTCATCTGCTGTGCTTAACACTTGAGCTTCTCAACCCTAGCAGTGTTGCCTTTATATAATATGGGTTACCCCAGGAGTATATTGGACAGTTACTGAAGTTTGAAACTCCTTAATTTCATGTTTTTAATTCTTGTTACTGCCGAAAGTTAGGCTAATACAAGTGTGATGGGAATTCAGACCTTCAAAACCTTTCTGATGAAATGTCTTTTCAGTTGCTAAGACATTGATAAGATATCATTACAGCTGGGCTTATCTGAACACGTGGCTACCTGATCACATTGTAGCTTTTATTGAAGTAATGTTGATTTAGAAGAATATTGTGTATGCCTCAAAGGTACATCTAAATATCCACTGCCACACTGCACATGTGGCCAGCAAAGTAGCACTATTCTATTTTTCTTTCTTAAAACCACATCCCACTAATTTGCCTACGACTTTTCTGTTGGAAAAATTAGATAGTATAGAACCATCATCAGCCTGCACAGCAAGGCCAAATATTGTTGGCACTGTCAAGGAAGCCACACACCGAAATATGAGAAAGCAGACTGTGGTAGACAATACCGTTACAACCAGATCTGTATGTAGTTCAGTATGCAGTATAATTGAAATGGTTCAGTGGTATTTAGAATACCAGCACTTCACATTTCCAAAACATCATTTATTTCCTCTCCTGTTTCAAGGAGAAATGACTTGTTCCTTCAGGTTGCTTAGACATGTAAAATACTAGTTGCATGTGAACCAATATGTGACCTATCTTAGGAAAATACCAGGGGCATAAAATACATTATAATATGGCTATTTGGGGCTTAGCATGATCTACCTTTGCATTTAAAGATTAGCTGAAAGGACAGTCATTGATCAAGACTAGCCAGCTATAAGGGGAACTACACAAGAATAAAAATATGTATAATTTATATGTGAGATATACTTTTGTACGTGAGATATACTTTTTTACTAAGAATTATGAAGTCAAGAAGAGCCTTGCTAATTAATGTGTCCTGTTTTTTCCCCTCTTCCATGACTCCATCACCCCATCCATATTTTTTCTAAGCAGCAAAAGTCTGGAGAAAAGCCTGTCCCAGGTATGCCTTGTCTAATATTCTTATTAGCAGAATCTACTATAAACAGCCTGTTTAATGTCATAACCACTTGCATAGAATATGACCCATGGCCGTTTTGTCATTCTGGAGTGTTTCATTACATTTTGTTAGTCTTAGCGCTTTGGATCTGCTGAATTGCCCAAAGTGGTGTTTGTGTATTTTAATATTTCAAACATGAATTATTGTGGAATGAGGAGACATAGAAAAACCAAGGTGATTTGAGGTTGATTATATTGAGATTCAATTTGGCAAAGGGACTTCTGTTTCATTTAAAACAGGTATTATACTATCAGTTGAATCCGCTAGAACAGTTACAGTTCTGGTTTACATAAAGTCTTATTTAAATAATGACCTTTTGTATAGTATCAAAAATTTGCTGAAGTAATTGGGATTTTCAGTTGACACATGGGTTCCTATAGATTGATGTGATGTAAAGGCTAAATTTAGATAATTTACTTGATTTAACATTTCTACATAAATTGAAATCTGAATCACTGATATTCACTTCTATACTACTTTGGTCCTTCCACCTGCTTTTGATGACAAGTGGATCAGACAAAGAAGGAAGCAGAAGCTATTCCTGAAACAGTAAAATCTGAAGAGAAGGAGATTGCCAAAAACACCCAACAGACAGTGAGCACTAAAGGCCCGCCTGAAAAACGAATGAGACTTCAGTGAGTCTGGACACGGAGGAGAAGCTCAGAAGTCTCCTCTTGCCTTTCATCTTACCTTGCTCCTGTGACAGTCTCTTGGACTTTAAAATTATTTGTCACGACTTCCATTTCTTTTTAAGAACATATCTAAGAGTATTCTTTCAAAAAGGATATAAGAGGATCATTGTGATTCCATTGGAACATTTTTATGTATCTTTTCTAACTTTCCCTGACTAGACTTGAGCAGCCTCGTCACTACATGTGCACGTCTGCACACAGGTATAAGCTAAATAAAGGAATTTGTATATATTATCATGCCTTGTTTTCAACCTTATTTCTCTCTCTGAATTATTTCTAAATGCTCTTTGTAAGCAACAATTGTTAAAGTAATAGCTAAACTTCCTTTCATCGGTTGCATATTTTTAGCGTTTGAGTTACAACCTGAAAGATAAAACAGAAACCCTCTACTCACCATTACCTTACATATACTAAAACTTGTGCTTATCATTTTTTTCTCATTTTATTTCTCCCAAGCACCACTGCATGTTTTCCCAAGACCCTTAAATAAAAATGCAAATCTTAGTTTACTCTCATTTATTTTATCTGTTGTAAGTACCACTAGGAGTTTACTTAATTTTTGTGAATTATTTTAGTAATTTCTGTGAGTGATCTGTTTTCTTTCTGTTGTTTTGTCTTAGGGACTATACCCAGTGCTGGTCCGGGTACTCCTAGCTCTGTTTGTGGGTAACGCCTGATGTGCTCAGGGGACTGTGCAGTGTATGACTCACTACATACAAAGCATGAACTCCAGCCCCCAGAACTATTATTTCAGCCCACTTATCTATTAAGTTCTCACTGTGTTGAGTTTAATTTTTTCCTCAATTTTTCATTGTTCTAAATCTTTATCGATTCTCTAATACCACTGAGTATTGTCATGTACCTTCTTACTGCTAATCATGCAACATGATGGCATTTTATTAAGTGGTACAACAATTTCTCATCTGTTTAATTTTGCCATGTAATTCTGGATTCCTCGTATTTTTAGTTTTTGAATTTTGGCATAAGTCTGGCTTATAGCAAAACTGTAAAATTAATAGAAAGATTCCTGTTCCCCTAATTCTCCATATAACAACATGTTTTCCATATTTTTAACTTTTTTTACCACTTAATTTTCTGGTGTCAATTTCTGCTTCTTTCTTTGTATCTGTATTTGTCTCTCCTCTCTCTCTCTTTCTTTTCTCTTTCCCCTCCTTTCCCACCTTTTTCCCAGCTCGTCTTTGTATATGTATGTTTTTAGAATGCACATATCAATTTTTTAATTTTTTTTTTCCCCTTTATTTTATTTTTTTTTTAAAGTTGTAGATTTACAATTTTTTGTGCTTTGGTTTCAATTATACAATGATCAGATACCCATCCCTCCACCAGTGCCCATTTTCCACCACCATGGATAATATCCCTCCCACCCCCATCCCCCCATCCCCCCGTCTCTGTGGCAGGGCAATCCCCTGTGTTCTCTCTCTCCTTTTGGGTGTTGTGGTCTGCAAAAGAGGCATTGAGTGGCAAACATGTTCAGTCCATAGTCTACTTTCGACATGCATCTCCCCTCCTGGGAGGATCCTCCAAACATCCTTTATTTGGTGCTCCCTTCTCTATCTGAATAGCCCTTTCCTCTAGGATACCCGGCTGGCCTCTAAGCCATGGAGTAATCCTCCTGGTACTGATCTCAGCTATTCTTGGGTATTAATCTCATACTTTGTTACTTTATATCCCCCAGATGAATGCAATCTTTCTATGTCTATCCCTCTCTTTCTGACTCATTTCGCTTAGCATGATACTTTCCATATTGTACCACTTGTATGTAAATTTCATGACTTCATCTTTTCTAAGAGCTACATAGTACTCCATTGTGTAGATGTACCAAAGTTTCTTTAACCAGTCATCTGTTCTTGGGCATTCAGGTTTCTTCCAGTTTCTGGCTATTGTAAAGAGGGCTGCAATGAACAAACAAGTGCAGATGTCACTTCGACTATACATTTTTGCCTCTCTGGGATATATTCCCAGGAGTGGTATTGCTGGGTCAAATGGGAGCTCAATTTCTAATTTTTTGAGAATCGTCCATACTGTTTTCCAGAAGGGCTGAACCAGTGGACATTCCCACCAACAGTGAAGGAGTGTCCCTTTCTCGCCACATCCACGCCAGCATCGGTTGCTTTTGTTCTTTTGAATGTGGGCCAGTCTCTGAGGTGTGAGATGGTATCTCATTGTGGTTTTGATCTGCATCTCCCTGATGATTAATGATGTAGAGCATTTTCTCATGTGCTTTTTTGCCATTCGGATTTCTTCTTTGAGAAAGTTTCTGTTCATTTCATTGCCCCATTTTTGGATGGGGTTGGATGTTTTCTTCTTGTGGAGTTTAACCAGTATTTTGTATATCCTGGATATCAACCCCTTGTCAGATGTGTATTCGGTGAATATCCTTTCCCATTCTATAGACTGTCTTTGTACTTTGGTCACTGTTTCTTTGGAGGTGCAGAAGCTTCTTAGTTTAAGATAGTCCCATTTATCTATCTCTGTTTTCACTTGCTCGGCCAGTGGCGTGGCATCTTTGAAGATACCATTAGCTTCAATGTCATGGAGGGTTTTGCCAACTTTATCTTCAATGTACCTTATGGTTTCTGGTCTGATGTTGAGGTCTTTAATCCATTTTGATCTTACTTTTGTACATGGTGTTAGGCAGAGTTCTGAGCCTATTTTTTTGCATGTAGCCGTCCAGTGATACCAACACAATTTATTAAAGAGGCTTTCCTTACTCCACTTCACATTACTTGCACCTTTATCAAAGATTAGATGAGCATATGATTGAGGAGAGATGTCAGTGTATTCAACCCTGTTCCATTGGTCTGCAGTTCTGCCTTTGTTCCAGTACCATGCTGTTTTAATTATTACTGCTTTGTAGTACAGTTTGAAGTTCGGGAGGTTGATTCCTCCCATTTTCTTTTTCCCAAGAATTGCTTTAGCTATTCGTGGGGGCTTATTGTTCCATATAAATTTCAAGAGTGTTTGCTCCATTTCTTTGAAGAATGTCATGGGTATCCTTATAGGGATTGCATTGAATTTATACAATGCTTTCGGTAGTATTGCCATTTTGACAATGTTAAGTCTCCCGACCCATGAGCAGGGGATATTTTTCCATTTCCTCATGTCCTCTTTTATTTCCTGAAGTAGCGTTTTGTAGTTTTCTTTGTACAGGTCCTTTACTTCCTTAGTTAAGCTGATTCCTAGGTACTTGATTTTCTGGGGCACAATTGTGAATGGGATTGTTTTTTTCATGTTGCTTTCTTCTCTCTCACTGTTTGCGTATAGGAAAGCCCTGGACTTTTGGGTATTGATTTTATAACCTGCAACTTTACTATACGAGTCTATTGTTTCTAAGAGTTTTTTGGTGGAAGTTATTGGGTTCTCTAAGTAGAGTATCATATCATCTGCGAATAGTGAGAGCTTGATTTCTTCCTTTCCTACCTGAATGCCCTTAATATCTTTTTCCTGCCTAATCGCTATTGCAAGTACTTCCAGTACTATATTGAACAGCAGTGGAGAGAGTGGGCATCCCTGTCTCGTCCCTGATCTTAGAGGGAAGGCTCTCAGTTTTTCCCCATTGAGGATGATGCTTGCTGTAGGCTTGTGGTAGATGGCTTTAATTATGTTGAGGAAGGTCCCCTCTATACCCATTTTGGCTAGGGTTTTCATCATAAAGGGGTGCTGGATCTTATCAAATGCTTTCTCTGCATCTATTGATATGATCATATGCTTTTTATCTTTTCTTTTGTTGATATGGTGGATTATGTTGATTGATTTCCGAATGTTGAACCATCCTTGCATCCCTGGGATGAATCCTACTTGGTCATGGTGTATGATCTTTTTGATGAGTAGTTGGATTCTATTTGCTAGTAGTTTGTTGAGGATCTTTGCATCTGTGTTCATCAGGGATATCGGCCTGTAATTCTCTTTCTTTGTGGTATCTCTGTCTGCTTTTGGTATCAGTGTGATATTTGCTTCGTAGAAACTGTTTGGAAGTGTTTTTGATATTTCAATTTCGTGGAAAAGCTTAAAGAGCATTGGGAGTAAGTCCGCTTTAAAGATTTGGAAGAATTCACTAGTGAATCCATCCGGGCCAGGACTTTTGTGCTTGGGGAGACTTTTTATTACCATTTCAATTTCCTTGATGGTGATAGGTCTGTTCAGGTATTCCAGGTCTTCTTGGTTCAGCCTTGGGAGTCTGTAGGAGTCTAGGAATTTATCCATTTCCTCGAGGTTTTGATGTTCCGTGGCATAAAGCTTCTCAAAGTACTCCCTGAGGATCCTCTGAATTTCTGTGGTTTCTGTTGTAATGACCCCCTTTTCATTTCTGATTCGGTTTATTAGGGTTTTCTCTCTCCCTTTCTTTGTGAGTTTTGCTAGAGGCTTATCGATCTTGTTAATTTTCTCAAAGAACCAGCTCTTGGTTTCATTGATCTTTCAGATTGTTTTTTGGGTTTCCATCTCGTTAATCTCTGCTCTGAGTTTTATTATTTCCTTTCTCCTGTTCGGGTTGTGCTCCTTTTTTTGGTCCTTCTCCAAGCTCTTAAGCTGTGAGGTTAGGTTATTTATGTGTGCTCGCTCCTCCTTCCTGAGGAATGCTTGTAGAGCTATAAACTTTCCTCTTAACACAGCCTTTGCTGTGTCCCATAAGTTTTGGTAACTCGTGTTCTCATTTTCATTCGTTTCTAGGAATCTTTTGATTTCCTCTTTGATTTCCTGTCTAATCCACTCGTTGTTCAATAGTGCACTGTTTAATTTCCAGGTGTTTGATTTAGTTTTCTGTTTTTGAGTGTGATTTACTTCTAATTTCAGCGCATTATGGTCTGAGAAGATTGTTGATACAATCTCTACCTTCTTAATTTTATGGAGGCATGTTTTGTGGCTCAGCATGTGGTCTATCTTGGAGAATGTTCCATGTACACTTGAGAAGAATGTGTATTCAGCTTTTTGTGGATGAAGTGTCCTGTATATATCTACTAAGTCCCTTTCTTCCATTGTTTCCCTCAAATGAAGTATGTCCTTGCTAAGCTTGAGTCTGGTTGATCTATCAAGAGGTGACAAAGCAGTGTTGAAGTCTCCCACTAGTATTGTGTTGCTATTGATGTCTTTTTCCAAATCTATGAGTAGTTGTTTTAAGTACTTTGCTGGTCTCTCATTAGGTGCATATACATTTATTATTGTAAGTTCTTCCTGTTGTACAGATCCTCTGATCAATAAGTAATGGCCTTCACTGTCTCTTATGACCTTCCTCACTGTGAAATCAATGTGGTCTGATATAAGGATGGCTACCCCAGCTTTTTTATGGGAGCTGTTTGCCTGTAGGATTGTTTTCCAGCCTTTGACTCTGAGTCTGTGTTTGCTTTGACTATTGAGATGCGTTTCTTGCAGGCAGCAGAATGTTGGGTTCAATTTTCTAATCCATCCTGTCTTTTAATTGGTGCGTTTAGCCCATTGACATTGAGAGAGATTATTGTTATGGGATTTTGTCCCATTGTTCTGTTAAA